TGGCTTAAAGATTTTAATTGAAATTATCTAAAAAGAAAAATAAACCCTTAGTATGTATTTGATGAAGCATTTAATGTGAAGTAAAACATAATGAAATAAGAAATTCTTCAAACTAACATATGTGTAATTTATTTCAGTTGTTTGATTATGTTAAAAATTATTTCAAGCCTTCAAATGGGGTGAAAGAAGTCAGACTAAAGTATATAGGCTCTATTACAAGAGATAATACTAGCTACAACAAAATGAATTTAAACACCTTCCTTAACCAAAATTACACTAAAAATTTATAAATAAATAGTTATTGTCACCCACCATTTTGCATAAATACAAGAAACCGAAGCAAATATAAATTCTTATGGTAGAACTTTAAAAATGGAACAAATGCATTAATTACATCAATTTTATTTATTTAATTATTTGACATATAATTACTTTAATATCTTGACCAATAAAAATTTATATAAAGAATAAATTAAAAATAATAATTATCAAAGTAATGTATGTAATAATTTCCATAATAAAATATTTGTAACCATAGAAATTTTAGTTTTATTTTATTTTATACAATTTCAAAGTAAGTGGTGACTAATGCTAAAGTATGTGATGAATAAAGTATATTTATTGAATTTGGTATATAATTTTCATTTTCTATTTGTTAAGTAGGCACAAAATAGGTAAATGTATATAATAGAAGTGATTTTTGTATTTTTATATCAAGTTCAACAAATATTTATGTCATACTTTTATATTATAGTTAATTTAATTAGTTAAAAAATTAATTTATCTAAAATTTAAGTATCCCGATAGATATTGAGACAAATAATTATAATAAAAAATAAAATAAAATCTATTACATCAATTAACTATAAGAATAATTTTATTTTTATCTATATATGTAATTTTTATACAACTTTATTTATAAAAAGTTGTTAGGTAGAAATTAAATTAGGTAAGAAAGAAAAATTCTAACTCTTATAAATTAAGCACTATAATTCTTTTTAAGTAGTATTAGTTTATTCATAAAAAATATTTTAGTTTTATAATAGCTTTTTAACATATAAGTAATTTTTAAAAAATATAAATTTTGGTAAACAAAATTATTTATATTTTTTAATTTTACATGTTTACTAAATTTTAAATCTTATTTAATTTTAATAAAATTAAATAAAATATGTGGATAGAAATCATTTTTTTAATTAACATTTTTTAGCACCTTTAATCTCTTATAAATATTTATTTTTATGGTAATGGTTGATTATTTAAAAATAATAATAGACTATATTGTTTCTCACGTTTCTATTATCTGTATTTTCACTTTTTTCTTATGTTTTCAATCTTATGAGCCATATAACAAAACATGCTTAGACATGTCTAAGCATTGAGAGCTCGCACAAAGAGAACTTGCATCTCTAGGCATTAACATGAAAAGTAAGACAACAGTACAAAAGCATCAAGATGAAAGTTCATGACTCAACGAAAGAACGAAAAAAAAATGTCTCTATCCTTAAGATATCATCTTTGTCTAGGTACTATCTTTGAAATAACTTCTTGTACTTTTATTTGTTTTTTTTTTTCTTTGTGAAATATCAATTTACAATGTCCCTATCATATACTTCATGTTCATTTAATTTTGTAGAAGTCTTGAGTGGATTACACACTCTTAGATATAATAAAAATAAATTCAAGGAAATGACATTAATAAGAGATAATTAAAATAACCTCTCAATGATATGCTATAAGGTTGAATCCATAGCATCTCCTATTTTTATATCCAACCAATTCAAACTCCATTACATGAAATTTTTTTCTGAATCATGTCCTGAACAATGTGAAATGGTAATGACAAAAATATAAACGAGCCTATTATAGTTATTATGTTTCTAATATAAACAAGTTATGATGAAAAGGATTGATAATTTGGAAGTAACGATGAGACAAATGAAGGAATAATTGCTTAGTATAGACTACTCATTTTGCCAGACAATGTTTCAACACTTAAAAAATTGACTATGACCATTTGGAGTGCAAATGAAATGATTATGAAAAAATTAGAACATGATCATTTAACATCAACAAAGTTTATTCAAGAAATAAGAGTGGAAATGGTGAATGATTTGAAAAGAAATTAATTGGCAAGAAATTTTTCTCACATGTATAAAAGAACTAGAAACTAACAAACGTTTTGCAAATCACAAGCACACTAACTGACTATTACATTCAACGCAAGTCTACTATTTTGGTGTTTTTATATTTATTATTCATTCTTATTATTATTAAAATTAGCATTTCACAAGTTCTATGTTAGTTATTATATTTAGTGGTTAAAATCACTATTTAAATTAACACATATGCATCTTACATCTTTAAAATATCAAGTTTTGACAAAATGGATAGGTATGTCTAGTTTTTATTATCCAATACAACTTCATAATATATTGCAAATTAAATGGTACACTATTTAATAATCTTTTTTTAAGTTATCACTTTTATTTTATATGGCTTATGGTTTCAAATTGAATTTTACTATTATTTCAATAAAGAAATTTTCATACATACATATGACAATTGGTGCATTGTTGATAGAAATATATTATAAGGTTTAAAACCCAAAGAAATGATTGTCGAAGATGTAATAATATATTTTTCTTTTAAATAGTTATACTTATATTCATTAATATTGTTTGGAATTATTATCATATAGGTGCTTGATTTGGTAGCTTATACGTTAACACATAAAGAAAGATTAAATTTTGAAGACCTAAGATTTTGGTTCATACCTACCATTTTTTCGGTATCATTTGAATTTGTTATTTTAATTTTTACCAATGATTTTATTTAATGTAACTACAATTTTTTTTAACAATGCTAGTATATTTTTAAATCATAGAATATTATCAGTATTCTTTTACGAGTAAAGTTGATTTCGTATTAAAAATGACAAATAATAGAAATTATTTTAGTACTTATTTGATCCATTCTTAACAATGTGAAGATTATTATATTTTCATATATAAATAGATATTTGTCCGTATAAATGAAGAAAACATTAATTGGTTCTTAATTGTTATTATCATTTGAAAAGAGAGTTAGTTGTACTTGATTCATTCCTAGTTTCATTGAAAAAAAAAAGAATTACATAAGAGAAATGTTAAGAAAGTAGTAACTATTATCCACCAGCATTATAAATACAATTTTACCAATTTAAATTTTCGTAGTAAAAGAAATAAAATTTAGATCTTGTAGACTATATATATAGAATAACCACTATAGCATGTATTATTTTACAAATATGATTTACCATATAGATATTCAATTTCAGAATACAAAATTGTGTAACCGAAAGAGACAAGCATTCAAAGGCTTGACTCATAAGTGTAATTTATTATGCTTAATCTATTAACTATTTACAATTGTTTAATAAAAGTTAAACTCACTTAATTTGCTGCATATATAAATGTAAGAATGATTGTGGGGTTTGAGTAGCAAGTTGGATGATACAAATTAATGTGAATGAATACAGAATACAAGTAAAATTAAAAAAATTTCATAATATTTTATAATTGTAATCCAATAGGAAACAATTATTAAAATGAGTTTTTGTTTACAGGTTAATGATGGATAGAGATTGTAGATTAAAATCTTACAACATAATATGTAACAATTTGATCACAAGGTTATTCGAACACTTGGGAAAGATTAAAGAATAGATGAAAAATATTAGATGATCGTATTTCATATATTGTTAACATTATGTTAGACTATTAATTTGTAATGTCTAATAGATATCTCTTTTAGATATAAATTATTTATTATGAATATTTTAGATTATATTATTTCTTGCTTTTGGACTTTATATCAACATTTAACTGCATCTTTTGCAATAATAAGCCAAACTAACCAATCTAATTGATTCTAACTTGAGCATTTTATCAAAATATTAGAATTCATATCATGACACAACTTTTTTACAATCAAGTAAATTGATGAACAAAAAGGTGTGAAATTGGAGCATGAATGTATTCCCTTAAAAAGCTGTTGTGCATAGAAATCAAGTTGAATATTTAAAATCTGAATAGGATTTATCAGTAAAGGTGGATCAATCATTTATTGTGTGACTCGAATACTCATTCAAAGTAATATTTTTCCTTTGAATGAATATAATAGTCATATGTTTCATATTACCTATCAATCATATGCCATTGTTATGTAGAAACAAAATTATCTTGCTCGGTAATTTTGGGTATGATTTGCCCAAGCAAAACACCATATTCATCGTTTACTTTTAAAGGAGCTTGAAATGAAACAAAAGTTAAGAGAGCATTATCACTCCACAACAGCAAAGTGATGTACTTCGTTGCCAATCACAAAACAATTTCTCCATGAAGAAATCCACAACAAAGTGAGCACAAACTCTTGAACATAAAAATTATCCTCTCAATCCATTTAATGAATAGATATAATTCTCAACTTTCTCTCTCATTACAAAATTTAACATCAATGTGCTTAATATAACACTTTAATTTAATTTTCAAAAATAAATTTTGTAAAAATGAGAATAATAAAATTTTCATTTAAATATAATTTCCCATTATAGAATTTCATCAAACATTTCAAAATAATAAGAAATTACAAGTTTATATCAATGACTGTTACAGGACTAATTCAGTTGCATCATAATTTCAAAATAAAATATAAGTCCTATAGCAGTTCATCCATCCCTTCATTGAGCCCGATGCTGATTGTCTTGGTCACCTGAAAAATAAATGTAAAACTGAGTACTCTACACTATCCAACACACACATAACATAGAGACTCACCTTGCACACCAACATGTATTCTAACATAATCTACTCAAGTACAGGCAATCATAGACAACACTTTTAACCATTTCATTTTAATTCATAGTCAATGCACTCACGACACCAAAAACATGTTACATACACATGCGCTTACTGAACGTAGTCATGCTCACTATGGCACTGTGATCACAGATTTACACCATGGATGGTCGTCGGTTACCCCCACATCACGGATACCTCGTGTGCGATCATGAGTTGCTCGGCAAAGGTGTTGGTCAGAGGTCTAGTCAGAAGGAGAGTGTGTGGCCTGTGGTGCACCCACACTCACTGTTAATGTCACCACCACTCTCTTTTTTCTAAGGTATTTCTACCGTTCTCATCTTCTACACCTCCAGTGTATCACTGAACCATTCATAACATATTCACAACCGCATTTAATATGCCTCATTCACACGCATTTCAATTGCATACAACATTCATATTTGCACACGGCACACAGGCCCACATTCATTCACATTACACTTACACACGGCACAAATGCCCATGTTCACCAAACAAGGTTCAATCATACAGTTTTTATAACAATTTTCCTGAAATCATTTTGTTCATCATACACAACATTTCTCAATGTCAATAATACTAGGTTCCACACAAGATTTCCCCTATACTCTATTACAATCAAGTCATTTTCATCCAAAATACACACCTTCCTACGTGTTATTTCAATCACAACTCTACAAGTAATAATATAAATGAATTCTCAAACATAATGAGATAAGGTAGAGTTCTCCCTTACCTCAAATTGAAGACCCACGCACGAAATTAACAACAAGAAGGCTCCCCACACGAACTTAGTCCTAAATACATGGAAGAATTCTATAAGAACTAAGGGAAACCGAAAAAACAGAGAATGGGGATGAGAAACCAAGACCTTAACCATTCAAACTCACCTCCAAGTGTTCCTCACACAAATTCAACCTTTAATCTTGCTCCCAAACGGCTTTGGAGGCAATTTAATCATTGAAATATGGTTTGGGATTGAGAGAATCGAAGAAATTTTGAAGGAGATATGAGAAAAGAAATTCCCCAAACCTTAAACATCTTTAAACTTTCAAGTCGCGACACTCTCACTACAGCGATCTCACTGCAACAACACCCTCTCTCGCTATAGCGAAAATCTCAAAGGAAACTACACTCTGATTTTTGCAGAATCTCGCTATAGCGAGACCCTCTCGCTACAGCGAGACTGCACCCAGAATTACACTCCAAACTGTCGCTCTGTCGCTACAGTGAGAGACCTCTCGCTACAGTGAGAGACCTCTCGCTACAGCGAGAAGGCAACAGTTTCACTCCTTCCTCCTATGGCTCTCTCGCTACAGCGAGAATACCCTACACTATATACTTAGCCTATTTCAAACAATCCAGAAAATCAAATCTCGATACACAATCAACATCCACATCAGATTTTAAAAAAAAAAATACACATGTTTACACGTATATTATCGTCACCATTCTATATTCCTCATTATCATCATTAATCCATATCAATTTATCACGCACTCAAGTGCACACTCTAACATCCATTCACACACACACACACACACACATATATATATATATGTATACACACACACACATTAATAATTAATACTACAAAATTTGGAGTATTATACCTAACAATTAAGTACAACAAAATACTTTATTTTTTGCAACTAGTCACCTTATAACAATTAAAATCTCTATATTGTAAAGGAGTAACAACAACTTTTTGTGCAATCTCAGCTGCAAGGAGAAATTGGTTTCCTTAGAAATTTAACCTTCTTTTTATAAAACCCTTGATCATGACATTTAAAAATAAGTACAATTAATCAAAATATTATAGATAGAAACTTAAAATGATCATGCTTCATAAACTCACACGGTTGTCTAAGAAAAGGGCTTGACTCTACAAAACACTGCCCTTTTGATGGTTTTTCTCTAATAGCATTGTTTAAAAACTTTTGGCTTTTATTCTACATAAGCATGCATAAAAATTAAGCAAAATCATAACTACCACAAATTATATGAAATAACAAGAAAAAAATAAAACAATTATCAAAGACAAAATTCTTATTAAAGCTCTTCTTTGTCTCTTATTCTTGGATATTTTGATTATATCATCTATCAATATCATTACCCATTAAATATATCAAAGTTTCAATAAAGGACTTAAAGTAATACAAAAGGTTCTATAGTGTAAAGGCAAAGCACGCCTAGTGTAAGGTCCATGTTATTCTCGGTAAGAGCAATGAGTCAATTACCTCAATTATAAGTGATTTTGCTACCATATGCTATAATGTATAAACAAGTTAATGAAAAATACTTAATAATAGTATCAGAACCAGTTATAAGAAAAAAGTGACGAATGACATCAAATTGGTAAAATAGATATGTGATATCACATTGATAGAATCAATTATAGGAAAAATATGACAAATGAAAAAAATTTCTAAATAGTAAAACAGAGCATACTAGATCTTCCAAAGAGATGTGTGATATTAGATTAGTATTTTATTCATAAATTCAAAACTTTGTCTCAGAAAGATTTGTGCGATCAAATTAGTCCTTTGATATAGGAATTTTGCCATCAATTTAGTCCTTCAAATGACATCAAATTAGTCACTGAAGTACAAAATTGATGATATTCACCATCATTGAAGAAGTAATTCGATAATATGATGTCATGTTTAAATTTGAAGAAATAAAATGTGTTTGCTTTAAAAGGTGACGGAATGAAGATTTTGATTGAACTCACATGTTCAAATCTTGATAGAAACTAATGAACTATTGTTTTTATTGTTGTAAGAAAAAAAGAAAGTGAGAGGTTATATGAACTTACCTTCTTTAAAACATAGACCAAATAGTGAAAGGTTTTCCAAAAAGTAGTTCACCAAACCAACTTAAAGTGTAGCTGACATGAATTTTAAATAGATTAAAATTAGAATCACAACGTGACCAAAACCTTAGATCACTATGCTAGAAACGAGTTTTTTGAGTGCTAACTTAGATAGCGGTTAATAGAGACCGTTTTGTAACAATATATTTAGAAAGTGGTTAGTGTTGAACCGCTCTCAAATATATACTTATGAGAGCAATTTTCTGTCAACTACTTTTACATCTATACTTCTGAGAGCGGTTCTCTAACCGCTCTCCTAAGTTATACTTTAAAGAGCGGTTAATGATGAATGGATTTTTGTTTTGCATAAAGATTTGTCGTCAACCTTTACCAAAGTATGCAGAAAAATTTGTAGTATCTAGGAAACAAACTTAGGTTGTCTCTAATGACTTTGGTTTGTAACATACATTGAACATGTTGTAAACATTTACTATAAAAGCAATTAAAACAAGGGGGTTTTGTGTGATTCCAATTTTAATATAAAGACAAGTGATGAAATTAATGAATCCAATCAATGAAATGTGCAATCCTTAGTTTGTTCATGTAATTCTATCCCTATCCCTCTCAAGATTCAATATTTTTCCTCTTTCTTTGAATTAGAGTAACTCAAAAACCAAGAATTAACCTTAAAGTCTCATATGAATTAAGCAATTTACATAGGCTCCAACTATTTTTCCTAAGATTACGCAACCTTAGAAATTAACTTAGGATTAAGCAAACCAAGTTAAGAATTTCATTAAAACGAATTAGGGTTAATTAAGCAATGTCCTGTTCATTCAAACATTAATTCAATTCAAGAGTTGGGAAATATAAATTCATAAAGGAAAGGGAATTCTATTGACATTCATACCTAGGAATTCAAGAATCCATGAACTCACTAAGGATTACAAGAAAGTTTAGCCTTCCATAAGGATGGGTCTTACAAATTTAAGATGAAAGCAAAGGGAATTCAATGACATCAATGCAAGAATTAAAGGAAAGTGAAGAGAAATTGTAAATCAAACCCTAAGATTGGCCTTGACTGTCACTCAAGGATCCTAAGCTCTACAAAATTCTCCAAAAGTGGCAAAGAATCAAGTTATGAAAAGGATCCGTACCCTAATTTCTAAAAATCTATATATATTAAGTCTGACGCGACCTCATAGTGATCACTCTTGCAAATAAGAGTGATAACGCGCAGCATTCCTCAGGCTTTTCCCTTTCTGTAGTGATCACTCTTGTGTATAATAGTAAATACTCCGGGGGCACGTAGTTACTCTCACTTTTTAGAGTAAACACGCGTAGACTATTCTGGTTTAGGCTTCACTGAGTGATCACTTTCACTTCTGAAAGTGTTTACCCGCAAAGTTCTTCATCCTGGAGCTTTCTGGAGTAATCACTATCACTTTTGAAAGTGATTACGCGCAGACACTTTATCCTAAGCTTTCTGGTGATCACTATCACTCACGAGAGTGATTACGCGCAGGCTTGGTGGTTCTCTTTAGCTCTGGAGTGATCACTGCTGCTTCTGAAAGTGGTTACTCTAGCCTATCCCTTGAAATCAGCTCCTTGGAGTGATCACTATGGTACCTGAGAGTGATTACTCTCAGTTCATATTTTTCCTAAGAGCCAAAAATTCATGAAATTTGTCTACAATTTCTTGCACAATTATTCAAATGATCAAAATTGCAAAATATATTCACAAAAAGTAGTGGAAATAAGACAAAAATTAAGAAAGCTATAATATTTGACCTAAATGAGATTTTTATGTTATTTACAATCCCTAAGTCTATTTTTCATATTAAAATCATATAAAAAGCTAGACAAAATATCTATAAATTATGGATTCATCAGTTAGCGCTAGCATTGAATTGCTTTCAGATTTATACTTTTGAGAGTGGTTCTCTATTAACTGCTCTCTAAGGTCACTCTTTGAGAGCGGTTAACATAGAACCGCTTTCCAAAGTCTTTAACTTTTATAAATAAAATACGCTTTTATGAATCTCTTCGCTTTTTGTCTTGCTAACTTTTACTTCTATATGTTTTTTTCATCTCTTTAGCGTCTGTAGATTCTCTTCATCTCATCTGCACTAACAAATTGTTCTTTTTTCATATCTGTAGGTATATTTTTTTTCACAGTTCTTTCTAATCTTGCTAACTTTTACTTCTGTAAGTTCTTTTTGTTTCTTTAACGTCTGTAGGTTCTCTTCATTTCCTCTGTGCTAACAAATTGTTCTTTTTTCATATATGTAGGTACATTTTTTTTCACAATTCTCTCCATTCTTTCTCTCTTTCTTTTTCTTTTTATTAATGATAAATCATTCTTTCTTTCTTTCTTTTTCTCTTTATTAATGGTGAGTCATCTTA